GTTCCACTGCGACTCGCACAGGGGGACGGAGAATGGGGGGTTCAGCCCTGAGCGGGCAGGGGGAGGCAGCGCCGGGAGGGGTGGGAACATCCCCAAGGAGAGGAACACCGGTCCCGGTGGTCCCGGTGGGGGCCGGAGTCCCCCTCCCCAGGGGTGGCACAGGGAGGAGCTGCAGGCACTTTCCAGGAATGCGTCCCCCCCCCGTCCCCCACCCCAGCCTTGAATCCCAGGCTGGGGGCGGGGAGGGGGGGGAGAAGGGGCTTCTCCAGCCCCCAGGGGCAGAGGCACCGAGGAGCTGGCAGAAGAGCCTTGGGGACAAGGCAGAGCGAGCAGGTCGGATGCAGATCTCAACCTGGGGAGGGGAGAGGAACGGCGTTAGCACCCTGTGGGGCAGCCACCCCCCTCCCTGCCCCCCTTCTGGGCTCACTCACCTCAGAGCCGATGGCTCAGGCTGGTCACCTTGGCAGGATGTGTCACCGACCAGAAGTTGCGCCTGTTCTGCAGCTGTTGGAAGCGATTGCAGTGTCTCCTCCGCTCCCGCTTCAGTTTTTTAATCTTCTTTACCTGTGTAGAGGCAGGGAAGGCTCCTGGGGTCAGCACAGAGTGTGTGTCCCCCCCTCCCTCTGCCTCCCCCAGCTGGGACAGGGCCAGCACCCACCTTCCCTCTGTCAAACTCCTCGTCCCACTCATCGATGACGGTCTCGCTGCGGGCCCAGGCTGCGTCCCGAATGGCGTCCTGGCTGACAGCAGAGATCTCCCCCTCCCAGGTGAGGACTGGGGGGCAGCACAGTCAGTGGGGGGCAGCACGGTGTGCACCCTGCACGCCCCTGCACAGCACCCCCAACCCTGAACCAGCGCTAGGAGCCCCTCACTCCAGCACCCCCAGCACCCCCCTGGGAGCCCCCGCATCTGCCCGGCTCCCAGAGCCCCCCCACACCTGTCCACGCCAGTGCTGGGGGCAGCTCGAGTCCCCCCCTCCAGGGCTTGAGGCAGGGGAGCTATGGGGCTGTTTGCCCACCCAGGCAAGTGGGGGTTACCTTCTTTGCCATAAGCCTTGTCCAAGGAGTTCCTGAGCAGCTCCTCCACCACGCTGGGCTCTTCTTGGCTCTGGGGTGCTATGCCAGCCCCACGGCCGGGCTCAGGGCTTGGGGAGCGCCTGTGCCCATCTCCAGCCTGGCTGTCCCCAGCACACACTACCCCTGTGGAGAAAAGCAGGGTGAGGAGAAGGTGGAGGGAGAGGAAGGAGCTCCTATCACCTCATCTCCAAGGCAGATCTTGCCCCAAACACTGTTGGGACTAACAACAAGGTCCTGATGGCACAGGGCACACTGGGGCAGAAAGGGCTGGGGGACAAACCTTCACCCCCTCACCCCATCCCCACAAGTCTGGAGAAGAGGAAGCCCTCATCCAGGCTACATCCAGGGTACAACCAGGCTGCTCCTGCACTAGCAGCAGGGTCAGGAGGCACCACCAGGCAGTTGTGGGGATCAGCAAGCACCAAGGGACTGGACACCAGTGCTTTTGAGGGGCTGTGTGGGCAGCCCAGCAGCTGGCTCCGGGCAGGATGGAGGGACATGGCTGTACCTGGGGTGCTGCCTGCAGCATGGAGGCCGTTGGCCGCCGGCTGCTCCAAGGCTGGGCTGCTGAGGCTTTCCCTCTGTTTGCACTTGCGGAGCTCGCTCTCTCCAGGCCCAGTCTCCACGCTCCGCCGCTGCTTCTTCCTCCCGGGCTCCATCTCATCCCTCCTAGAGCTGGGAAAGGCCGTGGGGGTCAGCTCGCTCTACCCACACCAGGGGGGGAAGCGTGGAAGTGTTTGAGCTCCCACACCCTACCCTGCGCTCAGGGAAGGGGGTGAACCCCCCGCCCCCAGCAAGCTGGTGTGTCAGCTCATTCCATGGGGAGACTCATCCCACCCGCAGAAAGACAAGAGGCCCCCAAAGGTGGCCCTGATTTCAGGCAGAGCAGGGTTACACAGGGATCTACCCTGACCCCAGCCCCTCACCTGCTCGAGGACAATGTCCCAGAGCAGCGCTCTTCCACCTCCTCCATTCTCCTCTTCTTTTTCTTCTTCTTCTTCTTCTTGAGGGAGGAGATGGGCTCCATGTCCAGGGAACTACTGGGGTCTGACACTTGCTGCTTGGGCCTGCTCTCCATGTCCTGACAGCTCTCCATGTCCTTGCCATCGCTGGGACCATTGCCTGCCGCCTTCTTCCCCGTGAGGGACACCCAGCCCTCCTCAGCAAGATTCTTCCTCTTCCTGGGGGGGCTGGAGACCTCATCCTTGACCTTCATAGCTGGAACATGAGGGCTGCCATCTGCTCCGTGATGATGTTTTCGCCGCTTCTTTTTGGAGGAGCCGGGGGTGGCCTGGCTGAGCCCCCTCTCCCCACTGCAGGGAGGAAGGTGGTGCGAAGGGTGGGCAGTGGAACCGTTGGTCAGGGGAGAGGCTGAGTTGAGGATGAAGCTGAAGGCAGGCTTTTCAGGATTTGTCAGTTTGGGAGCAGATGAGGACAGCCTGAGGGACAGGAAAAGCAGCTGATATGATCTGAAAGCAAGGTCAGGAGCCCTCTTCTCCCTCCCCACCCCGAGGTGCACAAGCACAGAACCCAACTGCTACTGTCAGCCATGAAATCTGAATCAGACCCTGCTCCCAGAGCCGCAGCTGCAGCTCACGGTGCCCCCACAGCTGCCCAGTGCTGGCCACGTGCAGGGCACACGCTGTCCCACGGGGGATTAGCGCAGAGCGAGTGCTGCTGCAGCACTTGCCATTGGTGAAGGTTACAAGGGAGACCCGGAGCAAGATCTAAACCAGGCTGGTGGCTCCTGATCCCACGGGACACTGGTCCGTGGTCAGAGCCTGCAAAGTTGCCTCCCACCCTGTGCCGACAGTCAGAGAGACTTGCCCTGCTCCTAGGATCCAGAGCAAGCCCTGCCAGCCCAGGGGAATAGGAGAGCTGCCAAAAGTCACCCTCTGTGCCAGCTGGGATGCCAGACAGCCGCCTCATGGAGCACCCCAGGGCTTGCTGGGAGCGATGGCACCGCTTACCTCAACTTGCTGAAAGGCCAGGGAGAGGAGTCGGGGTGGGTGGTGTTCGTAAAGTAGGTGTCAGCAAATTTTGGATGAGGTGTTGGGTGGCGGTCACTTCCGCTCGCCTTCCGCGGGGTGCTGCCCTGCAGTTATTGACATAAATAAAAACTTGGTGGTCTAAAGAAAAGAGGTTTCCGTGAGCCAAGAGGAGAAAATAAAAAGGGGAGCCCAGAGAAAGGGGAGGGGAACAGACACAGACGGGGGGAGGGAAGTGAGGGGTGGTAGAAGAAGAATCAGAAGTGTTTTCAGTTAGAAGCACAAAGGAAAAAAGGAAGGAAGGAATATTAAAGAACAGAAACCCCAGCGCGCCGTCCTGAGCCCCGGCTGCACAGCAGCACGCCAAGGGCCAGTCCCACACCACTGCCCGGGGAGGGGGCAACTCCACAGCCCTCCAGCTGCGGCGTCCCCTGCTCCCACTCACCCCAGGGGACACCCCACCCCGAGAAGGCTGGCGAGGCCACCCCGCTGCAGGGACTGGCACAGCCACCTCTCCCCCAGGGGCCATTTCTCCTGCATCACTCAGGGATGCAAACAACAGCAGGGGCCTGGCCCCGCACCCCGACCCACTGGGAGGGCAGAGACACTGCTGCATCCCTGCTGAGGGGCTCTCCCACCCCCCTCCGCCACAGCAGGACACCCAACATTAGCTCCACACCTGCCCCAACGCAAGCCCCCACTTCAGAAGGTGCAAAGCACCAGTTGAAGTCTCTGGGCAGTCGCCCAGACTCACCTTTTTGGCAGAGAGCGCCAGCTTCTTGGCAGGTGGGGGTGACATGGTGCTGCTCAGCTCCAGGCCAGCGCCGGCCAACAGGGAGGATTTCAATTTTGACAGCTTGGAGTCTTCGGGGGCAGCCGGCTCAGCGCCGGGGCTCGCAGGGAGGTCCGTGCCACAGTCCGTTTCCTGAGAGGTGCAGAAGCTGCCGGTTTCACTCTTAGCCTTCTGGGATGCTTTGGGCAGCTTCTCTGCCACGCCGTGCGCCGGGCTGGCAGTGCCACTGCCACACGAGTCCTTCTCCAGGTTCCCGGTGTTCTCCCCACCACCACCAGGCTCCTGGCCGGGGCTGGGCTCCAGCAGCAGCTTGGGTGAGGTAGGTGGGTGCTTGCTCTCCCAGGAGCTCTGGCGGGGCAGCTCTGCTTTGGCCACGCTTGCGTTGCTGGTGTCACAGAAACCCTGAACTGCTCTGGGCGTGGAGGGCAGCTGCGGGAAGGAGAAGGGCTTCTTGAGCTTCCGGGCCGTGTCATCGGGCAGCGCTGTGGCCGAGTGGGTGGCTTTGAGGGCCAGTTTGGGTGACGGGGACCCAGCGGGCCCCTTTGGCGGAGCGGTTCCATTCTGCAGCTTCGGCCCCGTGCCAAACGAGCTGCGGGCCACCGGGACTCCCACCTCCTCCGGCCCCGACAGCTTCTTCCCTGGCAGCGTGTCTGCTCTCTAGGTACAGAGAAAGAGAGAAGTTCAGCAAGGAGAATCCAAGGAGTTGAGAACACAGAGACTGCCCTCCCTCTCCAGGCTCAGCAGGATCCCTCCTGCCCATGGGGAGCAGCGAAGCCGCAGCCGCAGAGCAGGCAGAGGGGGAGCAGCTCCTGGGAGCAGCCTCTGGGACTCACCCGGCCCATCAGCGGTGAAGACAGGGGCCTGTTGGTCACAGTTTTCTTGACCTGATCAGAAATGTTGCCAGTGCGGCCAGACAGGCTGGGGGCTGCTTTGGTGATGGACCCCTCCGAGCTCTTCCTGGGGCTGGGGATTCTGTGAAGGCAGAAGAACATCCTCATCAGAGATGCACATGAGAAATAAGGAGTCAGAAGCTCTGAGGAGGTGAGGAACAGGGGCTGGACTTCTACTTGCCACCCTTTTCTGAGCCAGCACGGGCACACAGGCTACTTGGGCCAAGCTCCTTCCCATAGTGCTGCCAGCCCTGTCCCAAATGCTAACAGGGGGCCAAGGGGGACACAGGGTGCACTCACCTCAGGTAGAAGAGCACGTAGGCCTGCTGGTTGAGGACCACTTTGATGTTGCTGCAGCGGACCAGGTCATCGTTCATCTGATACCACTGCCCATTGCTGGCCTACAGAAGGAGAGAGAACAGAGTTGGGCTGTGTTCAATGATCCTCCTGAAGAGCAGCAGGGGTAGCATCCATCAGCAGAGCTCCTCTCCCCCAACACCAACAGGTGACCCAGGGCAGGCAAGGGGACTCTGCCAGAGCACACCTCAATGCTTCCTGTGATGGAGCACAGCCCGTACCCCCATCCAGTGCTCCACAGCACCCACATCTGCTGAGCACTCTCCTTTCTGCACACTACAGGGACCCACCAGCCCAGAGGAGGTGCCAAGAGAGCACCCAGGGCTCACCTTCACGTAGCAGTAGTAGTGCCCAGCGTGGCAGCTGTACCCCGAGTGCACCAGCACCGCATAGAGGCTGTACATGACGGGATCCCCTTTGTTCTGAGACATGTAAGGGCGGATATTCAAGAACTCAGGGTACCCCACGTCCTGCAGAGAGAGAATGTCTCAGGAGCCTGAACAGCAGACAGCTTTCCTTGCTAGAGTGAGAGCAGCCTGGCTGTCCTGTGAGTTCCATCTCTTGAGAGGGATCAGCTCTGCCCAGGCAGAGGCCACGGTGAGGAAGATGCCAGCATGAGCCGAACTCCCACCACATGGCACAGCTGGGGAAGGGCTGCAGGATGGTGGCAGAGCTCACACTGCACACAGGACCCCCTCCCACCCTGCCCTGGGCAGCAGGGCCAGGAGACAGCCCCAGCTCTGGATGGCCAAGTGCTTACCTTTGTGATTTTGCCTCCACCGAAGTTGGCGAAGCGCTTCAGCGAGAGCGTGAGAACGTTGGAAGCTCGGTGGATGCTAAAGCGTTTGGTGGCTGACACTTTCTTCTTGCACCTGCACAGGAAGAGCTCGAGCTATTCAAGCTGTTCCAGCACCCGGGTGACTGCTAGCCCTGGCCAAGGGCAAACCCCATGGAAATGGCCCTGCTGACACCAGGCACTGCTCCAGGGCACCTACGCATGGCCACGTCTGCTGGTCTCAGGAGAGGAGGGAGCTGAGGAGTGGCAGGCTCCATCGCAGCCTTCCATAGCCACGCACCTCAGGGTTTAGCCGTGGAGCAGGTAGAGAAGCCCTCCCTCACTGCAGCCTCCCACTAGCACACCCGAGGCCCTGCACACTCACTTGGCACACATGTAGGCGTTCTCCCCGCCCAGCACGTCCGGCTTCACAAACAGCTCCAGCGCCCGCACTATGTTCGCCGCTTCCTGCAAGGACAGAGGGGGGGTCAGGGCATGAGCTGCCCGTCCACCCCAGCCCCGCTCCCTGCCAAGATGCTGGCCCCAAGGGGATAACAAGACCACAGGGCCACAGGCTACACCAAACTCATGAGCCTGCCACCAACGTGGCACTGGCCAGCGTGCCACAAGGGACATCTGCGCTGCCCCCCAACACCACAGAGCCTCAACGGAGGAGTCGTGGCTCCCACTCAGGCAACAGGCACTGTTTTGCCAGAGAGAAGGCGAAGCTGCTTCCCTTCAGTGCCTCGATACTGGCAGGTCAAGAGCTTTGAGAGCAGCCACGGTGCAGATCCAGAAACATCCCCCTGAGAGCCGAGCTCCTCCCCATCCCCGACTCCTGCAGTACCCTGATCTCCAGCGCCAGGTCCAGGTAAGGGTCGTAGGTGTCCGAGACAGTCTTGCACACCGAGCACTTCACTGCAACAGAAAGGGCAATGAGCACACCTTGGCACCACCCCTGCACTCCCCACCACCACCCTGGCACAGCACCAGCAGCCACAGTGTCCCCCCTCCCCAGGTTTGGGCTCCGTGATGCGAGCGCCAGGATTCACAGCCTGGCAATTCCACTATGTGCCATGACAGCGAGTGTTATAAAATCATAGAATCATCTAGGTTGGAAGGGACCTTAAAGATGATCTAGTCCAACCATCAACCTAACTCTGACCAAAAAAAAAAAAAAATCCAATAAAAACCAACAACAAAAAAACCCCACCACTAAACCATGTTCCTGAGGACCATGTCAACCTGTCTTTTGAACACCTCCAGGGATGGTGCCTCAACCACTTCCCTGGGCAGCCTATTCCAATGCTGGATAACCCTTTCCATGAAGAAATTTTTCCTAATATCCAATCTAAACCTCCCCTGGCACAACTTGAGGCCGTTTCCTCTTGTCCTATTGCCTGTAACTTGGGATGTTGCCAGATAGCTGGCAACACGGGCTTCTTTGCTGGTGGCAATGAGCTGGGGACCCAGAGCCAACAGTTTTTTCCTTTGCCACAACAGGGGTCACGACCCACGGGTACCACAAGACTGACCAACACACGCTTAGCAATTTTCCCCAAAAGATTTTTGACTGCACGGCTTTCAGGGAAAGAGCAGCCCTGGGAGTCACAGCCAGCACTCACCACGGGAGCGCAGGTAACCGCCAAAGATCTGGTGAATCAGCGTCGTGGCCTGGGTCTGGCGATCCAACCTAGAGACAGCAGCACCAGATCTCACACCACCCTCCACAAGAGCCACCCCCACGGGCCACCGCTGTGTCCTCAGGACAGTTTCCCCCCACGCTCCAGCCAACAGGTGGGCTGTAGAGCTCTGGGAACAGGGGGAAGTCACAGCCTCTGCCCATCTGCTCTCCTGGTGGCAGAGCTCAGAGGGGGCACCAGGCTCCAACATGCACCTTCATCTGGAAGGAGCAGAAACGCCCGGAGCTCAGAGCCCGGCATGGCACACAGAGGCAATGCCAGCTTTCCCGGGATGGATGGCCTAGGGAAAAGCTGCTCAGCCACAGAGCATGCCTGGATTCCCCGGAAACTGGGACAGGATCCAAACCCACAGCAGCTTCAGGATTTGGGGACAGGACCACAGCTATGCTGGGGTGGAGGTGTCAGGAGAAGGCAGACAGCAGCCCAGAGCTGTGTCACAGAGGGGCAGAGCGTTGGGCCACCCCCCCGCCCTGAGGCCCCTGGAGTCAGTTCCTCCCTCTATAAGTCTGACCTGGGGGACACACGTTCACCCCACAGCCCCCTCCCACAGGTGCAGGGGACAGCGAGGGGACAGTGGGGAAGAGCAGTGACGGGCCATCAGGGGCCCCACATACTTGGTACAGCCATTCAGGCAGGCCTTCTGCATGGCATCAATGGTGTAACGCAGGAACTCGTGCGCATCCTCCTGGTTGCCGAAGCGGATGTGCTGGGCAATCTCTGCAGGACAGGGAGGAATCAGCCCCAGCACGTGCTGCAGCAGACACAGGCCCTTCCTCCTTCCTTCGGGGCCTAGACCCCAGGGACTGAGCCCCCTCAACCCAAACCAGAGGTCGGACTCACTCTGGCCACAGGGGAAGCCCCACGCAGCCCATAAAGTCACCAGCCCCCGGCAGGCTCAGTGAGTCATCTCAGCAGAGCCATCTGCCAAGGCCTGCCCTGATCTCAAAGGTTCTGCTCCTGCCTTAGTCACCGCTTTCCTGCGCGGCTACAGGAGGGAAGGGGAGAGCAGCCATCCTTACTCTTGAGGTCTCGGATGAAGGACACTGGCTTTATTGCGTTGCCGCTGTTGGCAAAAACCTGGATCATGTGGTTCTGCATAACGCACATCATGCAAAATCCTCCATGGTGACCTAGAGCAGGAGAGGAGAAGACAGGACGTTGGGGACAAACCCGGGAGAGATGGCGGCAGAACAGGGGAGAGGGGATCTCTGGTCCAACACAGCTGGGCCACTCTCAGTTTCCCCTGTGAGCTCCGTGCCACCGTACAGTTCTGGGGCATCCCGGGTACAGGGGGACCAGCACATGCCATCCCAACTGGCAGAGCCCCATCACAGCACCAACCACTGCAAGCCGCGAGACAAGACAGCATCCACATGGATAGGAACCATCCAAGAACTTGTGGGAGGACACCACAGGTCAGCCCTGAAGGGCAGATCCCACCGGAGCCCCGTGGACAGGGCTGCAAGCCCCATGTGCTCCCCTTGGTCACAGCTCACAGCCATGCCCACCAGACTCCTTCTCAAAGCCACCCACCAACAGCACCTCCTGCCTGTACACAGCCTTCTGCCCCAGACAAGGGCTGTTTGGAACCCCCAGCTCAGCCCCCAGGAAGTCAGCAGATCTCTTTGGACCCATCTTAGCCCTGGCTACACCCAGCAGAGACAAAAAGCCTCCCCAGACGTGAGGATACAGAGCTTGGAAACGCTGCTACAGCTGGGAAAAGCGAGCTACACACAGGAATGACCTCTCGATGGAGAATAGGGCAGGAGGGAGGAGAGAAGGTGCATCCCAACACCTGCACAGCCCTCCTGAGAGCCACACACAGAGGTGCTGAGCGCAGCAGGGGGAGCAGGACATGCAGGACGCTCCCGTTCCCCACCGAGCCATCCCTCCCCACTCACAGTTGCGGCTGTGCTCCTTGGAGAGCAGGTAGTTGGCGAGCGGCGGGGTGTAGGTCAGGCACTGCACCGTGGAGTTGAGGAAGCAGGTGTTCCCCAGGTTCTGCAGCCCGGCACCGATCCGGTAGATCCGCTCCCACTTCATGGAGAGCCGCTCCACAGGGAAAAGCACCTTCTGGGGCGCAGGGACCCCATCCCCCTGACCTCCCGGAGCATGGCTGCTGCCTGTGGGGGAGAGGGGTGCTGAGCCACCGGGGTGTGGAGAGCAGGGAGAGCCCCCCACCTTGCCCTTTCTACCTACCCTGCTTGCCAGGCAGCCCTTCCTCGGGGCCGCGGTGGCGACCGGTGGCCTCGGAGCGGGGGTTGAGCAGCACATACTTGCCCCGCAGGAGCTCCAAGTGCCCGGAGACCCCGCGGCTGGCGGGCTCGAACTCGATCTTCTGCAACAGCACCTTCTTGGCCGAAGCGGCCAGAAGCCGGCCCAGCTCCCCCCCGTCCTCACCCGCTTCTCTCCGGCCCGGCTTTAGGGCCTCTTTCAGCTTCTCTACGATCGGCATAGCGGGGCCCGGAGGCCCCGGCTGCGAGGAAAAGGGCGGTCGGTTGAGCGGCAGGGGAGGCCTGACGGTTCCCCCTCCCGTTGCGGGGCCGCGCGTTGCCGTGGCAACAGGCCGCGGCCTAGTTCCACCCGCAGGCCCCCCCCGATCCGCGGGGCCTAGGCCCGCGCCGCCCGCCCGCGACCTTGAGCGCTACCGCCGCCGGGCCCCCACCCGGTACCATTCCCCCCAAGCCGGCAGCACTCACCATCCGGGTCCCTCCCGCCGCCGCGCACGTGTCGCCGCCAGAGCGAAGAGGAGGAGGCACCGCCGCCGCCGCCGTCGTCAGCGTCTTCAACGCCCGGCCCTGTCAGGGGGCGGAGCCAGCGCTGACCACGCCCCCTCTGCGACGCCGTCCAATCAGGCCACGCCTCCCCTCCAGGGCGTGGCCTGGATGGGGAGGCGTGGCCTCAGCGCCCCCGTTGTGCGCAGGCGCAGAGCTCCGGTCCAGCCCCCGCTCCCGTTCCCATCCCCGTCGTTCCCGTTATTCCCGGTCGAGCCCGCCCCCGACGCTGCCGGGAGGGGGTTGAGAACGTCCCCTCAGCCTCCGCCTTCCTTGCCCGGCGGCTCCGGCCTCGCACCCCCCGCGGGATGCCACCCGGTGCTCGGGGGAAGGGGGGCACTGACCGCTCGTCCCCCCGCCGCTTTTCTGTCCCGCCCGGTGCCCGGAGGGGCTCGGGGTTGGGGGGCACCGGCCGTTCATCCCCCCGCCGTTCTGTCCGCCCGGTGCCATCCGGTGCTCGGGGGAGGGGGGGCATCCGCCGCTCGTTCCCCCGCCGCCGTTCTGTCCCGCCCGGTGCCCGGAGGGGCTCGGGGAGGAGAGTACCGGCTGCTCGTCCCCCACCGCCGTTCTGTCCCGCCCGGTGCCACCCGGTGCTCGGGGGACGGGGGAGCACCGGCCGCCCGTCCTCCGCTGCCGTTCTGTGCCGCCCGGTGCCCGGAGGGACTCGGGGTGAGGGAACACCGGCCGCTCGTCCCCCCGTCCCCGTTCTGTCCTGCCCGGTGCCACCCGGTGCTCGGGGGAAGGGGGGCATCCGCCGCTCGTCCCCCCGCCGCCGTTCCGTCACTCCCGGTGCCCGAAAGGGCTCGGGGCGGGGGCACCGGCCGTTCCTCCCCTTCATCCCCCCGCCGCCGTTCTGTCCCGCCCGGTGCCCGGAGGGGCTCGGGGTGGGGGCGCACCGGGCGCTCGTTCCCCCGTCCCCGTTCTGTCCCGCCCGGTGCCACCCGGTGCTCGGGGGACGGGGGAGCACCGGCCGCCCGTCCTCCGCTGCCGTTCTGTCCGCCCGGTGCCCGGAGGGGGTCGGGATGGGGGCGCACCGGGCACTCGTCCCCCCGCCGCTGTTCTGTCCCGCCCGGTGCCCGGAGGGGCTCGGGGAGGAGAGTACCGGCTGCTCGTCCCCCACCGCCGTTCTGTCCCGCCCGGTGCCACCCGGTGCTCGGGGGACGGGGGAGCACCGGCCGCCCGTCCTCCGCTGCCGTTCTGTGCCGCCCGTGCCCGGAGGGGCTCGGGATGGGGGCGCACCGGGCACTCGTCCCCCCGCCGCTGTTCTGTCCCGCCCGGTGCCCGGAGGGGCTCGGGGTTGGGGGGCACCGGGCGT